TTCCTGCTGCAGATGACTACTGAATATAATTGATCTCTCATTCTATGGAAGGGACTGAAAAAGATTAAAACAAGCTTCTGATGAAAACAGTATAACTGCTTTAAATTTATTTCTGTGTTTTGCCTAAATATCAGATTATGTATTCTCAGTTGGACCTAAAAAATACCACTTATATAAATTCCAGGTCCAGATATGATTCCAAAATGGTGCAGCCCATGGCTCCAAAAATACATAATTCAGACTTCATTACTGAAGTTTCACATCTGCTTTGTAGCTTGCATTTGCTTTATCCTTAGCCTTTTTGCTCAGTGGTGATTAGGGTCTCTATTGAAACTGAAGGTCTGATTGTGGAGAAATGTGTCCTCTAATGTAAGCGAGCCAGACTTATGAACAGTGTGAACATCTGGATCCAATGAGATATTATGAAATTGCTTGGCTCTGACACAATCTTTTTATTTCTTGAGCTTTGTTAGCACTATCTTACTTACTTTAAACCTTGCAGGGATCAGAAAGATTGTATCACATGCTGATCAGTAGTGTCCACCGTTTTCTTTGAATTCCATCCACATGCCTCTGCAAAGTGATTCCATCTGTGACAACCATCTGCAGAAAAAACGTCTGTACTAATGTCTCTTCCTTCCACTAGTTATGTGCACAGCATCTGTCTTTAGATGCATGGTGCTGCTGCTTTTAGCATGAGTGATTTCTGTTCCCTCTGTTTGTCTCTCTTGACAAGCAGTAACTCCACAATAATGGCCAATCCTTCCCCAGCCAGACTTGCTAGTGTATCAGCACTAACATGTCTATTTCTAAGGAAGCTTTCTATTGACTAGTTTTCTCTCTAGATAAGGACTCTGCCAAGGTTTTCACTCTCACTGTTTCTTTTAGTTAAGATCTTCCATATCGTCTCATGGAATCTGTATCTAGTATAAACTTGGTTTGCTTCTGGCTTAGCATATTCATTAGTAAGTTTGTTGTGCTTTAGTGTGTCAGCTAATAGTCCATGCACTCTCAATGCCTTTGCCTTCTTCCACCAAACCACAGCAAGAAGTAGCTCACCTGTTTTTTGTCAGATTTTGCTTTGCAGAAACCAAAAAACATCAACTCTTCAAGTCACCTGATTTTTCTGTGAGGTTTGCCAGGTGCTCAGACCATTTGGGGTATAGGAAAGCCATTAACAGCTATGTAATAGTTTATGCCTTGTTTAAAGCACACTGGCAAAACACATTTGGTTAATAAAACCTTTTTACTTCCATCTGCTCTTGCTGACTCCAAACAAAGCTGGCCAGGAGCACTCAAGAGGCTTATTTTCAGGAGGGGATAGTAGAACCTAGCAAATGAGCTTAATGCAAAGGACAGAAGCATGTTCTGTAAGAAAGATCCAGGAGACAAGGAAAGGATGAGGTAGAGTCATAAAGACAAAGACAAAACAGGACAGCCACATAGCCTTTTTTTCCAAAG